CCAAAGATTGTTCGTATACAATATGGTTCAAGCGGTCCAAAAAATGTCCGCAGTAAATATTTGTATAAAGAATTGCTACAGTTCCAAGCAGTTTTTCGCTACAGATATGACGAGTTGCCTATGAAGGGTGCTGCTCTTAAACTTAAACGTAATGTGTTGTGTTCACTCGTGGACTGCTAGGCTAGCCGTACTTATTATATGATGGCTAGACTGACAAACAAAAAAAGAATAGGCCTACTGAATTGTAAATAAATTTCTAGTTTGCAGTACCTTAGAAAGTGTATTTGTATTTGAGACTGAACCAGGTGCCTTACTGACAGTGGATGTATTTTAAACCTGAATAATTACTAATGAGACCTGTTTTCTAATGTTAATAGGGCCTAAGATAAGTACGGCTAGACTGGCAGGCTAGCCGTACTTAGGTGCGACTAGACTGCTTGAAGTACGATGGACCTTTCACCCTGGGTGAGACTTGCATGCGTTGGCTATTCTCACGCGGTGTGAAACAAGACCTGTTTTTCCTAATTACGGAAAACTGTCCATCGGTATGGCTGATCAAATTGACAAAGGCAAAGAAAAAATGACATTATAGCTCAGTAAGCTAATTTGATCGTCTACAAAGATGCTATCTCTAGAATCTAGACATCTAGATCTATCATCTAGATGGCTATTTCACTTTTCGAATCGAGCCGAACTACGCGGGTCGATATTTTGTTTTGCCCGGAAGTTCTCGCAAGATCTACTCAGGTCCTCTCTCTCTCTCTTTCTGTCTCTTTCTGAATACTGTCTATCTGTGTGGACGATCAAATTGACAAAAACAAAGATAAAAAATTATGTGAAAACACAAAAGTAAATTAATTTGATCGTCTACAAAGATGCTATCTGTGGCTTTTTCACTTTTTGAATGGAGCGGAACTACGCGGGTCGCCATTTTCTTTTGCCCGGAAGTTCTCACAAGATCTACACCTCTCTCTGTCTCTCTCTGTCTCTTTCTGAATTCTGCAGTAAAACACTTACCCCCCCCCAAAAAAAAGACGTTTAACTGACACCATCTGTTTCGTGTCATTGGCAATTTTTATTCTTCAGAGTTCCCCCTGTGACTATAACTTATTCTGAACTCTCTCTATTTTCTTTTAAGTTGGTTCAATTTTCTCTTAGGTGCCAGGGTGTGGATGCCATTTAGGGAGCTCAATGGCATTGTTGAGACCGCAGTTACCAAGCGCCAACCAGGGGCTGTACATGACCTGGAGATGGCGTTACGCAAGCACAAGCCAGACTTCATTTCTCTTCTTAAGAGACCGGTAAACTTTGCTGTCATTCCCCGAAAACGTAAAGGCCAAAACTTCATTTGTAAGAAGTTTTGGCATGTTGTTTTCAGGTTTCCTGAGATCAGTTTTTTAAAATAAGAAGAACTACCCTTTTGGGATTTTATAAAGAACTGCAACAGTTCAGTACTGTGCTTTAATGTTGATGTGTTTGCTATGTGAAATGAAATGTGATGTTATCAGTTGCAGTCAGTGGCAGAAAAAAAGAATGTACTGCTTTACTACTGTTGTAGTCCATTTTTTCCCCATGCTTTGTGCTTTAAGTAATGAGCATTGACTTTTTATACAAAAGAGTTTTGTAGTATTTAAGTAGATCTGGCTCATGCCAAATACGCGTATAAACTTAGTTAAAAGAGATTTGTGTGCTGTTAATCTGTCAAAGAGATACAGTCGAACCTGCTCTAATACCCGCATGGCGAAGAGCATCACCTGTACAAATCTTCACTTCCCATTTTCTCCCTTGCTTTAAAAACAAATTATAACTCTGTTCGAGACTTCCACCTGCGTAAGACAACCTTTTTTAAAAAATCCTTGACAACGGGTGGCCGTCTTAGACAATTTTGACTTTATATGTACGAAAACATTGATGGTATGTTTTTATTTTATAAGGCGAAAAATACAACGCACAGAGATCTGGTGAAGAAGTCTACAACAGAGGGCATCGTAGTGCAAGGTGAACAGAGAAAACAGACATTCACACAGCAGTTTGTTGCAGAGGCTCTCATTCTTAGTGACGTTTTTGACCTCAATGAGCTGGCGGCTGTGGAATTATTAATGGCAGGTGAGTACTTTACATTGTAATTAATTAATTTTTTTTTTTCATTTAAAAAAGTGTTATAATTTTTCTCAACAGTTGTCAATAAGTTTGGATTTTTTAAAATTCACAATGAAAAAAGTTAAAGTCATATACCTCTGTTTACTTTTAAATTTCAGTCCAGAAAAGTGAGGTTTATTTTTTGTTTAAGGACCCGCAATTTAGGATATTTCTTTTTTTGAAAGATATATTTCTGCCCCTGACAGATGTTCTTTTTGCATTTATGATCAGCGACATATCTTTCCCATGTCCTCTCAAAGTGCAACATTTGTCTCTCAGGTGAGGTACAGTTGCCAAACTATCCAGGCCTGACCAGAGGACTGGTGGCTGTCCTTCTCTTTTACGACGGTCAGCGCAGCCTGGTCAGCGCTCTGCGAGCCCTGGCTCAAGCCAGAGAGGGCCGCACGTGGACAGTCGGGGTGACCCCCGAGATACAGACACTCATAAATGACTTTGTGGATCAACTCCTACAGGGTGGTCTCGTAGGCAGTATACTTGGTATGTCTTTTAGTATCTTGTGTCAATGGCCAATGATAAGCCTTAGATGATTTTGCTATTGTTTTGAGGCAATTTTTATTTTAAGGAAGAATGTACCAAGAGTTGTCTGTTTTTATTTGCTTTTTACCGTAAATTTGTTATGGTGCAATTGTGAAAGGCTCCTTTCTTCATTGCTGAAAATAGTTTTCACTTTTTCACTTGACGCTTTGAATACAGTGTAGTTTGCCTGAGTACATTTAATCTTTTAGAAAGCCGAACAAGTCAGGGTTTTTATATCTTGTGACACTCTTTTGTCCCGGTGCACCCCGCGGTCCCCTCCGCGTTCTTGTGACAAGTGATTAAAATTGCTAATATAAAGGAGTGAATAAAAAGCACTGAAAAAGTCTTGACCTGTGTTTTGGAGAGTCAGCGACATGTGAAGATGTCTTGAAGTGAAGTCTATTAAATCAGCTATATTAGTTGCATAGTTGCATGTGTAAGCTGTTTATATGTGTTTTTCTTGGTCATTGTTCATTTACTGAACAAAACTGATTTCTTCAGATCTGATCAAGTCCATGGTCATTGTCAAGGAAATGGATAAGCTGCAGAAAGACAGGGCCCTTGGGCCCCCAAAGCATAGGAAACAGGTGAGCATGTAAAAAAAGAGGGGGGGGGGGGGTGTTATGAGATGAGGATGCAGACAGTGGGTGCTTGATAAGGGAGCACTCAGTTGCTCCCCTTGCAGGTGAAGGGTTACACTTTTTGTGTTCATTTAGTACTCTTGCGCCACCTTGAAGGGTCCAGTGTCGTGATTTCATGTATCATAGAAATCATTCACCTTCAGAATGAAATGATACAGAAATAGTCAAATATACATGGAATGAATGGTGAAATGGATGTTTGTGTGTAGTGTTTAAAGAGGACTCTGTTTGGGGAAATTAAAAAAGGTTTCTTTCCGTATGTTTGGTTGAAAGAAGAAAAAGACAATTTGTTTTTTTTGGGTTTCAAAAAGTCTTACGGTCTTGTGTTTGCTTCCAACAGGTAACAGATCTGTACACTGAGATCCGGCAGACTTTAGCCGACACTATCTTTTGCCTGGCATGTCAGCGGCCCCTCAACAGGCAAGACACTCTACGTCTCCTGGCCTACCTGAGACAAGAGTCCAGTCTGGGTGGGGATGAGACCTTGGACAAGGTCAACCTCAGTCTTCTGCAGGCCCTCTGGTACTGCTTTGATGTCAGTCTCCTGCAGAAGGAGGACTCCGAAGGTGGGTTTTTGAGGCTCAGTGAGTTGAGCTCTTAACCCTTTGACGGTGTACACACTGGTTATTGGACAATGCTTGAAGATGCACTGTTTTGGGGCACTTACTGAACTTAATTATTCGTACAAATTTTTTCATATTGTCTTTATCTGAAATCAGAAAAAGACCTGCAACAACATGTATGCTATCAAAATACAAATTTGTGTTTCTGAATTGTGTTTGATCATGTGAATGTGCCACAAATAGGCCAGTGGACTGCTGTCGGACATATATGTCTGCTACGTCCTTAAAGAGTGAAAGAAATGTTTTTCAAAAACCATGAAGATAAGTCTTGGTTATTGCCTTAGCTGTTAGCGCCAGTGGCTAAGTGGTCAGTGATAGAACCATGATCAAGAGCTTTTGTCCATTCAATTACTGGCTCTGCAGTAGGCATTGTGTCCTTGGGATAAGGCGTTGTTGTTCCCAGCTCTACCCAGATGTAAGAATGGCAAACGTTTTCAAAGGCATAAGCTATCTTTCAACCAGAGTCCTGTTCATGTGTATATCTTTAAATTATCTTGTGTCACCACTTCAGCTAAGTGCATTGGAATTTTTTACATGGTCGGCATTTTAGGTCCGATGGAACATTACTGTTTTGGCAATAAGGAAAAGTTTTTGAGAAAGGGATTTTATTTATCTCTTTCATTTGATATGTGAGTTTGCGATATCCGTGAGTAAATACTGATCTAAATCTCCCAATATGTGTGTTGTATATGGGGAGCTTTGCTGAATTGAGAAATGTAGTACTTCGTGCGAAAATGTTATTCGAGTACAACATTTAAGTTTCGTGGCGTGGTAATACAGACGAACTTGCTCTAGCGGCCACATGATCAAGACAATCACTTGTACAAATAACCACTTCACTTTTCCTTGTGTCCAGAGGTCCTGTCCCTGTTGCCGGTGCTGAGTGACCAGAACTACATGCAGGAAGTGCACCAGGAGCTGGTGTCCGCACAGACCTGGGGCATCCCTGGACTCAAGGCTGCAGCTCAGTTCGGCTGGGCCATCATGCTCAGACAGATTTCTCAGTTCAATGTTGGCAATGGTGGTATGTGGTATTTTTTTTGGCTAAAACTTTTAACCCTTTGAGCCTGGATGTATTCTCCTGGGTTGCTTTTGACAGACTGCTAGAGTTGCACCACCACGACATGTTGAGGTGCTTGTTTGGTGTTCAGTAGGGTAAAAATTTCTTAAGTATTAAGTTCTTCTTCTTCTTCCTCGTTCTCGAATAAGTATTAAGTATACTCTGTTAACTGTGTTATTTGCTACTTTTGTGTCGACTTTTTACTATGACCATGACAAGATCCCTTGAAAGGTTGTTGGGAAATAATATGCTCTTTATTATTTAAGAGTCAGACCAAGAAAACCCCAGAACTTGGTATGTATTTTGAATATTCAAACAGCACAAAATAAATTATTTTCTCCTTTCAGTTGTGATTTTAGATGGATGCTTATCTGTAAGTTTCACTTCGTGTTTAGAATAAAAACACCCGACTTTTTTTCTATTAGTATGTAGTTTCTGTTGTTCAGCTTTTGCCACCTTTGTTGTTTCAGTTTGCTTCTAACTCTCAACTTTAAACTCACCAGGTGCTGGCAGCAGTGACTGTTGTGAAGACGATGAAAGGCTGATAGACCTTGCCTTGGAGGGAAGTGTCTTCTACTTCCTCAGCAACTCGGTGGTGGCTTGTCAAAACTTCCACACAGAGGTATGTCAGCTTTGTTACAATTCCCTTTGCACTGAAGTGTGTTACATACATACTTAAATTTTACCTCTTCTACTGATGTTACAAGTATTTATTCTGATATGAACAAGGATACGAAAACATTCATTAGGGGGGGGGGGGGGCGCACTGGATTGTTGAAAAGCCATTATTAATTTTTTTACCATAATTTAAATTGATTCTTTGTCATGTCAGCACATATGTCACATTGTTGAAGTAACATAACACAATATTTCTTTGCTCAACAGGAATTTTATCTACGTCGCTTACATGGATTGATTTCAGACTTCATTTACCAGATGCCCTTGAAGGTGAATGTTATTTACAGTACCATAATATGTATACTAAGTTTCAGTTTGTGCAAGTAATCATGGTAATGTGCTGTCAGACTGATAGTGGATGACAGTTTTTGTATCTGAAGAATCAGGATCAGTATTGCAGTACAGTGGCGGACAGCCTTTTTAAACTGGAACATTATCTTTTCTTTTTTAAAATAAGACTGAAGTAATGTTTCAAGGTTATTCAAGGCTGTTCGTTTTTGTTAAGCTTTACTTTCTTAATGCCCCCTCTTTCTATGGCTGTGGGAGTGTGTTTGAAAAAAATGTTCATCTACACTATTGATGTATGTTGATACAAGTAACTTTAAATCTCAACCTCCCTGTTATGGAACAGATTTCCTCACAGTTGATTTTGAAGGTACCACTTGAGGGTCCTACAAGTTTACTTCCTCTCTATTGTTTCTGCCCTGCACGCTCGTATGACCTTATTATGCAATTATGAGCACTGTAAAACTCTAACCAAAGCTAAAACATTGTTTCTGTTTGTCTTTGTCTGCCATGTGTAAAGTGATCGTTTGTTGTGTCAATGTAATTTACTTTACTTGAACTGAACAGACTTCTTAATGGGGATTACCAATGTTTTTCTAAAGAAAAAACTCCCAATAGTTTCTTTCCTTTAATGTCTTGTCATATGGTGAGTGTCTTGCATCAATTTTGGCATGTTTCCTTTTTATCTTAGACGAAAGAGCTGAGGAATAGAGGAGACGAAATGAGCCGCATCATCCTAGCTCACCAAGCCGAAGGACTAGAGCCGCCAGTACAGAGGGGGGATCTTCACGAGTTTATGACCTTTGTGTGTATTGCTTCATTTACATTTTTTATCTTTATTTTCTTTCACAGTTTTATTAGGCTGGTGCGATGTAGTACTAGTGTAATGAAAAGGTTTGATGTGTAAAAATTGTTTTTACTTAATGTTGCTGTGCGTTTCTTAGAATACAGTCTCTCATAACTAATGCACAGGAATAGTGTAGATTTGATTAGAGATGGGCCGAGTTGTTGCCTTCTTTGTATGCTGGTATGTAAAGAACAGGGGGAGCTACAAGTTGTTTTTTATGTTTGATTTTTATTCTCAAGCAGTCCAGCTAGCCTGCTTAGTCCCAAATCAGTTCCAGTCCCTAAGATAAGATTCATATGATGGCTTTGGAACCTGACTGCCTTTGGTTCCAATGTCAGACAAGGCTCTATGGTATCTCAGATGTAAAAAATGTACCACCCCTTAATCCAGGGCTGCCAACCATTCCAATTTTGTCGTAATCTTTACGATTTTTTAGCCTCACTACGAAATTCCGATCATAAAGCGATTTATTACGTTTTTTACAGTCAGCAGAATTTTGGCTATAAGAAAATATTTTTGGCTCTATTTTTATTTTACAAGTCTTAGTGCAGACCTGTAAATCGTCTGCCATAGTCGGAAAACAGCCAATCTCTATATCAAACCCCCCCCCCCCCCCCCTTTAAAAAAGGAACAGCTGGCCAACTTGGCTCGAGTTAGCTTTGTCCACAATAACAACGTACACAAATAGAAGCATAGAAGCATCGCTGCCACGCTGCTGAAACCCGATCAGTCTAAAAATAGATTTTATCGATCTATTTTTCCGTAATTAAGACATTTTTGTTCGTTGTCATATAGTAATTTGAAAATGAGAGCACTATTACTAATTTTTATGGGAAATGACTAATTTTCTTCTTGGTCATTACTAAAAACCATGGAGATAGGTTGGCAGCCCTGTTAATCCCATTTCAGTTCCGCTAGTTCCAATCCCTACGAGGTAATTGGGCTCTCTTGCAATGTTTTAGAAACTCTCTCTGTGAGCTAATAAAAGCAAGTGCAGGCTTGCCAATTGCCCTGAATTTCCAGGACTATCCTAAGTTCACATTTTAACCTTCACCACTGTGACGAGGCAAATTTTACCCCATACGCTATGCCCAAACCAGTCCCACTTGATGTAATTTTGTTCACTGTTACACATTCTGGAGTTGCACCGTTTTGTGTCCCTGATTGGATTTAGAAAAGGTCGGTAAGCCTGTAAGTGAAATATCTGTGACCATCGAGTTGAAATAAGTAAAAGGAAACTAATTAATTCAAAGATCAAAACAATGAGGCCTGTTCCCATGAGTAATATATTTCAGAAGTTGCTCATCTTGTGTGTGTCTTTTCAGATTGGAGATTTGTACATCAAGGATCCCCTCAAGCTGCAGCTGGCCCTTGAGTATTGGTGTCCCCCTGAGGCAACGCCAGGTGCTGCAGATACGAGTGCTGTCTTCAGGCCTGACCCAAAGCAGGTAATGTGTTGGTGAATAGTCATGAGAATTAGAAAATGGTAAATACAAAGTTGAAGCACATTTTACCCGGTCGAATGCTCAATGCTCCTCACGGCAAAAAAATACAAAAGGACCTATTATACATGTTACATATGGAGGCTTTGTGATATAATTGGTTTTCTCCAATATTTCGTAATTTATGCTTTTTTCCCTCTTGATCATAAGCTTTGTTCCCTTTTGATCACTAACAGGTTCTGTCTTTTACCGCTACAATTTTTTTTTCCATGAAACATGCTGGATCCAATGACTTTATACTGTTTCGATTCAGTTTTTGTTTTGTTTGTTTACTTGCCAACAGTGAAAGCTGCGCGTTTTATAGATCTTATAATTGCGCGGCAATCTCAAGATAAAGCTGCTCGTTTTAACGATATGATTATTGCATTAATATGTTATATTTTTTAAATAATAAAAACAAAAATTCACTTCCATCTTTATCATTTTATTCACATCAAAGAGCATTCACCTATATTTTCAAAAGTGTAAAAATATGAAAATTAAAATTAACATGTGAAACTTAAGAGGTCACAAGAATGATACAATTATACAATCCTTAAAACGCGCAGCGATTGCGCTGATCGATAATTAGCGCGGAACACACATACTTTCATCTTGCTCTCGCTACTGCTTCTCGATGAAGCATGTTTTGACATCATTGTTATATTATTATGTAATTGTTCAGTGGTCCAATGAGTTTTTTACCACTGATTTTTGTGGGTCAAATAAAGAAATCTGTCCATTTAAATGTTAGGATCTCGTATGTTCTTATGTATGCAGTAAAGTACATATATTTTTTTAACAATTGTGTTTCTGCAATGTTAATTTTCTTTCCTTTTTTTCTGTGAGCTTTAGAAATTGTGTAACGATTAGATAGTAGAGACTTTGATATGTGGTACTTCTAATTATAATTCTAGTTTACTTTTAGATTTAGAAAAGAGAAGCACTTGAACATGATAACCGTCATTTAATACAAGGAAAGAATTACCATAGACTTTCAGAAACAATGAAGGGAAATAAAGTAGCTAGGATTTGCCTCAGGTGGTTCCACAAATAAGGATTATAATAATAATAATACATGGCATTTATATAGAGCATTTCCATGTGCTTTACAAGATAAATTAAAATGACTTAAAAAATAGAGTAATTCATTGTGGCTGACAGGTGCTCTGTGTTGCCTGTTCCGTCTTTTCAGTGTTGCTTTTGTCATAATGTGCTGTTCGTGAAATGTGGGGAAATTCGGATATTTCAGTTCGTTTCGTGTAAGGCTATGATGCAGATGACCTTGTTTGAATCCTCAAAGGGGAGTTCTAGGGTCATTTGGGGAGTATCCAAGGTTCTCCACCTTTGTGGCTTAGTCCTACCACAGATGGAGGATGAATTCAGAGGTCCTGTTTTTAACTAACCTTACACAGTTAAAAGTGGTGTAGAATTCATACAGTGCTACACTTTATCTTGCAAAGTGGGATTGTTATTGTACTGATTTGTTGTTAAACTGCTTGACCTGATCTGCAACACTTTTATCTCACTTTTTCAGATCGCCCTGTTCAAATTTGTGCGTGTTGCTGGAGACCTTCTGCCTGCTCCTTTGTTTCTGCCATACCTCCACATGCTGACAGGTCTGGCCACAGGGCCCCAGTGTGCTCACCATTGCTTCAGTCTCCTCCGGGTCAATGGTAAGTGTTGGTGATTGGCGGGTGCTCTGATGTGGTTTTCTCCTTCTTTCCTGTCAAAGATCTATCGTCCTGATCTTTTCTTCTTTTTTGTGTTTGTTATTCTCTTGTAACACCTCTGGTCTTCGGCACTTATATGACCTTATTGTGTTGCAAGTGTCATAAAACTCTTAAATATAAAAGGGAAAAAGAAAAAAAAAAGGTAAGTGTTGTTGGATGACTCTATTACTTTTGTCTTAGGTGCGTGTTGTTGATGATGAGAGTTTTGGTTTGGTCTGTCCTTCCTGTTTGTCAGAGTGACTTGTCAAAACTTGTTTTGGTTTCTTTACCGATGTTGGTGTTGTAGCGGATAGGTGCTTTTCTGTTGATTCCCATGTGTGGGGAATTTTGATAGAGTTTCTTGGTATTTCTGCTGGGATGTTGCATCCCTCTCAGCATGGATTGGGCCTGACAGGCAGGGTTGAAGCCTGCCTCATAAATGGTCTAAACACGTACTTAAAAATAACCAAACTGGTTTCGAAAGGAAAAAATTACTGTTATAGTGCGGGTAGTTTTAGAGCACCCATGTAACTGCTATTTCTTTCCTCTCCCATTGTTTTTGGTGTCTGGCAATCTTGTTTTTGCCCAGCATTAAATGACCTTTATTGTATGAATGTACTTCTTATTAGTGACCCGATAAATGAACTGCTATCATCCTATGGTTTTGCAGAGATGGTTGGGTGGTGTGGTTTGCATCTTGTACTTCTTTTTATGTCTTTATGCGGTCTGTAGCATCTTTGTTGTAATGGTAAAGCTCATCACCGTTACACTCAGAAAATGAGAATTATGTTTCTGCAAATCATAGGAGGTACAATATTGAGCATTTCCATCTCTCTGCCAGAATGCTGTATCCCATAAAACCATGCTGGGACCTGACGAATTGACCTGCATTCTGAATGGTTCACATTGTTTTCATGGGGGCTAATCATTTACTATATTGAGTCTTATTTAGTCCCTGGCAAAATATGATTACGGTACTTGCTTGCTACTACCGAACAATAATTTCTTTACTCTAAATGTCTGTGTACAATATGGCTGCTATCGTTTCTGTGTTTCTTATTTCTCCTCTTTTTTTTGCGTGTGTTTGTCACTCTCTTGTAACTCCTCTAATCTTCAGTACTTATATGACCTAATTGCATTCCAAGTCCCGTAAAACTCTTATTAGTAAAACAAATAAAATGAAACAAGTGCAGTACACAAGTCAGTGAATAATACAATAGATAACAGTACAATACATAGATTGTATTACAATAGATAATATTTTACACCCTACAATTAACAGGTGGACAGGCGAACCCTGTGTCGTGGGACCACATCTTCCACTCCATCCACCAGTACTACAGCAGCCTGAGGCAGGAGGCCTACAGCGTCTCCGACACTCAGGCCGTGCCCTACAGAGCCAGCGCCGTGCGCAGCATGACCCCACAGGAGCTGGAAGCTGTCTGCTCGGTGCTCAAACTGACCCGACACATTGCTGTCTTGGTGAGATGATAAGATAATAAATAATGCAACAATTTATTTATCTCCGTAAAGTGAAATATGTTGCGACGTGGTAAATATGTATATAATAAAGTTGGGGGGGGGAGGTGGGGGGGAGATAACACTTTTCACTTTTTTGTCATTGTGAAACTAAATTTGTAGATTTTGCTATTTCTTTTACATTTTTTATATGTATGTTACTACATTTTTTTTTCTTTTTAAGTCCATTAAATTTCAGGAATTATGTTATGTATTGATGGCGTTACTTACAAGTAATTTACTCTACCGTTTTTTCCATGTGCCGCAGAATGAGACGTGTCGCTCGGCCTTCTGTGAGAACCAGCAGTGGTCAGTGGTCATGGTGCTGTTTGGCCTGTTGGGCTGCAGTGTGACTGTCCAGATGAAGGGGGAGCTAATGCGGACGTTGGCGGCTATTTCACAGACCCCGGTCTTTGCTGCTACCATCTGGCAGACTTTGGAGGCTTCTCAGGTCAGTTTGTGATGGCAGAAGCTGACTTCTTTTTTTAGCCGAGAAGTTCTTGCTTTTATATTTAGTTTTTCTTTTCTTACGGTTTTGCTTAATGGGCTAGTTGATAGTCAAGACGAAAGTCACAAAAACAAGTTATGATTCTCCGCATTTTTTTTCTTTTTCTTCTGTTAAACGCCATATTTGTTGTGTCTATTTAAATGTCTCTTTGTTTGCAAATGCAACTGCGTAAATTTTCAGGTATTTGAACAAATCCCAGTGTCATCCCAACTATACTTTTTACTGACAATAATTCTCTTTTGCTCTGTGGTCCGGTAGATTCTGCCCACCACTGTGGCGTCCGGTGAGCAGCCCGGAGGGTTCCGTGTGGAGCTGGAGGAGGTGGAGAGCCGTAACGAAGAGTACCCTCTGACCCGTGGCTTCCTTGAGCTCATGGGCTCTCTCACCCTGTTCCCCGTTCCCATGGGCCTAGGGGCCGGCACTCGGTCCCCAGGGTTCGATCCGTACCTGGATTTCATTCTCAACTCCATCCTGCTCAAGTACAACACAAGAGCTTACAAATCAGCCGAAGAAAAGGTTAGTAACACTTTTCCTGATGGGTAATCGAGAACTGATGATCTTAGGTCTACATGTTTTATATAAGTGTATTTCTCTTTTGGAACTGTTTCCTAGCAAAACCAGTGTGAGGGCTTTATGGACAAATCTGCCTCATGCACAGAACACAGTTTCTTGTTGTTAGTGATCTAGTAGCATCTGAGCGTTAACTCTTCTGCATGATGCCATTCTGTAATAGCTTCTTGAGAAGTAGAGGCAGTTAGATGTGTGGGGTAGCTTGGGAAGAAAGCATTCCCTCAAATCGGTTAGTTTTCCACAGAAGAACAGATGATGTTCCACTGTTTTTGAGACGTAGTCACATAGTAGGCAGACTGCTTTACTCCAATTTGGTTGAGATGTTGATTGAGGGACACATGTGTTCTAAGTTGGAAGATTATGGATTGATCTCCCCTCCTCAACTCATTGATTGGATCTTTGACCAGTGGTTTATTCATGTGGCCATACATCATCCTCCCTGTCGTACCTTTGGAAAACAGTTTCAATAGGGCAGGACCACTGACGGGAGGGGGGTAAAATGAATACGAAGTAAAAACATGCACTATTTCGCAACATTGCCAAAAATATGCCATCTGAAAGCACTCTTTTAAAGCTAAAAGACATAAGTGTCCATCAGAATAATAGACACATCTAGAGAGTGATCCTGACCAGCAGTTGAAACTTAAGGACCATAAATTATAAGACCCTAAAAATTCTCTAACTTTTTTTCCTAGCAGGCTGTGCTGGGGTCTTGGAAAAAAGTTACTTGTACGATCCCTATGGGGAAGGGGTTCAGTCAGTTTTTTATTTTACAAAGCTTTTTATTTCTGAAACTTAACTCTTTTCGAACCACACATCGCATATTGCACCACTGATCTGTGCACAATAGGTTAAGTGATAACATAATTGTCACGTGTAAAAAGAGTTAACTTCTTTTTGCATGTTTGAGTATTGGCTTTATTTCATAAATAGCCATAGTGTGTCAATGTAGTGCCTTATTTTACTCAAAACGAAACAAAATCAATTTTTTCCAGTGGCAGCTTGTGTGTGGCAGCCTGGAGGTGCTGGTCAAGTTGCTGACGGACTATGAGCTCCAGAGCCAAGACCTGCAGCAGGACACAGTGGACGTCCCGGGCCTTGGGATAGTACCGGCCAGCAAACAGCCAGGCTTCACCGTGCTCTGCCTGCTGCTCAGCGACTCCAAGCTGTTCAAGACTGTAAGCTCCTCCTTCTGGCTGTTGTGTTCCTCTCTTTGCTTTTGGGCTTGCTTTTATTTATCAGAGATTGTGAACTACTAGATGGTTCACTCCTTTTTGTCCCTCTTTCCCGCAAATTTATTTATTTGAGAAATTGAAAGTCATGAAAATGTGGTGGCGACGTCTATATAATTGTACGCTTGACACTATTTTTAGAGAGGGGCGTATCTTGTATGTAAAGATTAGAGGCAGCGATTGTTTTAAAAGACCTATTTACGGGGAGGAGTGACCCTTGATTTTGCAGATTTTGGGTCAGGCTATGCACATTTTATGTTGGCTGATTTTTTAAGATCTACCAGTTTTTTGTCTAAAAATAGCATGGATACAATTGAAAAAGACTTTTTTCTCCTGGAAAATTGCCTTTAAAAACATGAGGATGGATTCATTTACTCAATTTTCACAATTATTGTCTGTGTTCGCAAAATGCAATTTTTGTGCAGTTTTTTCCCTGCTCCTTCCTTAGTTTTCATCCTTTTGACATGAAACTTTCAGGAAGCATAGTTGGCAAGGCTGCCATCAATGTAACAGAGAGATATTTGCTAACAAAATCATACTTTTCCATTGGCAAGCGATTACACAATCTAAATATAGAAAAGGGTTTTGTTATACTTTAGGAAAATTTTCATATATTTTTTTCTTTTTCACTTATTGAAAAAAACTTGCTGTAACTTTGATAGGGTCTGGTTCAGGTATACTCTCACCAAATTTGGTCGGTAAATAAGAAAGCCTTAGGGATTCAAAATTCATTTTTTATTTTCAAGATGGCGGCCGTTTCCACAGCAACAGCTATAGCTATGCCAAAATAAAATTGGGTATCAAGAGATTTTACTATGTCTAACTTATATGTGTACTTAGATTTGATCTCGGGCAACAAACTTAGAAAATGGTCCTCAAGGGTAGCTCCTCCCATTAAGAAACGAAACAAAACTTTTTAGTGCAAGTGACAACATCCACTTAAATATGCATTGATATTTGAGGATGCTATTTATTTATAGATATTGAATTATATGTTAAGAGTTTCATTTTAATGGGAGATGAATGGAGCTGCTGATAAAATATGTTTAACAAAACATTTTCATTTTCTGAAACAACTTTTGTCTATTTTTTGTTTGGATGATACCAATGCTTTTCTTTCCTTCTGTTGTCTTTTGTCTTGCTTTTTTTCTTACGCCAAATAGCCTTTCTCATTTCAGTGGGGTTTTCTCCACTTTTGCTTAAAAGTTTATGAGCCAGTACTGTACTTTGTTTATTGTTATACAGTATACGCAATAACTGCTGTCTGACACTCCTTTTTTGTGACCTCAAGTGTTTCTTGCATTAGAGTTTCTGCTTTCCTAAAGAGTGTTGTATCTTACAGGTCCAAATGATCCTGGAGGAGGCAGTGGCCATGTTTGAGCAGTTTGCCCCTTTCCCTGGTAAGTGCTGAACAGTGAGATCTCCAACTGGTCCCAGTGCTTCGCTATCTAAACTCAGTTGGGGGGGGGGGGGTTGTTTGTTTGGTTGGGTGGTTTTTTGGGGGGTGGGGGGGCAGGTGAGGGCTTATTGGTGACTGTCTTTCTCTTCATATTGGGGATTGTTTTGTATTCCTTCTCTTCTTATTGATGATTGATTTATTTTTTTGTTTTTATTGGGTATAGTTCGTTTTCTTTCTCTTCGTATTGGGGATAGTTTATTTTTTAGATGTTTGATGTGGGTGGTTGGCGGGTTCTCTGGTGTGGTTTGCTCCTTCTTTCCTATCAAACACCTATCGTCCTTATCTCCCCACCTCCTTTTTGTGTTTGTTACTTCCTTGTAACTCGTCTAATCTTCGGCACTTAAATCACCTTATTGTGTTGCAAGTGCCGTAAAACTCTTACAAAAAAAAAAGAAGATGTTTGAGGGTATATTTAATGGATGGTTGCGAACATCCAGTAGGTAGTCTGCTCCTTCGTTTTTAAATGTAATTTTTGTCCTACTTAACTTACTCGCTGATGAAATGCGTCCTTTAGTTTGCTAACCAGTTGATTAGCACTACCAGATCATGCAGATTTCTCTCCATACATATATAAATTGTAAAGCGCATATAGCTTATTGTTGAGTGGGAATGATATGCACTATACAAATGCTATTTATTATTATTATTATTATAATTATTATTGTTTTATGTCTTACCCTAGTGCAGGTGTTTTCAAATTCTTCTACTACTTTTCAGGGTTCCAAGTGGACACTATATGTATTACAGTTTATAATTACCCTGTGACTCTAATCTTCGGCACTTATATGACCTGTTTGTCTTGTAAATGCAGTAAAGGTAAAAGTACAAACTGCTCGACTAGTGATGCCACTATTGTCTCTTTTTTTTTTTCAGGAGACAGTTATCTTGAGCGAGCGGCCTTGCTATGTCTGCAGCTTTTGGAGGGGGCCACTGACCGCCAGGGTGCCTTAGAGACCCGGGTGAGGGAAACGGCCTCACCCCTCATGATCTCAGGCCTTGAGCGACTGCTGTTGGCCATCAACCCCCGCACGCGCAAGGCTGACTATCTGGTGAACATTACCAAGTACGTTGGTGCATGTGGTAACTATTTTGATACAGTAGCTACCTCAGAATTACGGAGATCTATCTATGACATTTTTGGCTGTTTTGAGTTACTAAGATAATGAGCTCAGAAACCAAATCTTCTATTTGCTTAATCAAAATCGTAAGATTACTCAGACTCGTTATCAAGATATTCAAAGAATCTCATTTAAAAAGGCTTGACCGCGTTGTGAAACTAAACATTTTAAACTTCAAATTTCTCAAGACGAGGTACTGAGCCGAAAGAACTTTGTAATTCGAGGGTAGCACTGTGTCTGTAGTGTAATGTTATGGCTCTCGCTTGTGAAAGAGTTAAGTTGAGTTGAAATACTTCAATTTTTTTCTTTTCTAAGTCTATTTACCGGAAATTTAATTAAATATATTCTGCTAGAGCAGGATAAACCCCATATATGTGAGGCATCATGGTGATATCAGGCGTTCGTCAAAATAATGAAATTGAAGGTATTGGCATTTTTCTGCCGTTTTGGCAATATATATCAAATTTTTGTTTTTTGACTCAACCCCTTTTATGTCCATTTAAAAACATAATTATGTGTGGATTTTAATGAATTTTCAGTTTCCAAGGATGTTCAAGCTTTGATTGCGGCCATTTTCTCGCTAATTTTACTTTTGAAACTAGGCAACCCCGGCCTCCTTCAATGGCAAATAATTTGACTTCTATTCACCGCAGATTGATATTGTTTTCGCCTTTGCCCGAAAATGATGAGCGCCTGATTCCACCGCATCATGGCGCATATGTTCGGTGAAGTGGCTATCTCTATTAGATGGTTCATAATTCATAAAAATCATTGACAGTGTTTACAGATAACATCAACCACTAACAAAAAGATGTAAATTATCTAGAAAATATTTACAAACATTTAAAAATATTTTTAATGTGAATTTATTGTGGTAGGTTTCAGATGTGATCTTTTTGTCATACCCCCATTTTTCTCTCCAGGTTTGTAGTGTTCAACACGACACTTCCCAAACACACTCTGTCAGCCGTGAAGATCTTGTGTCATGTGTGCAGGGAGACACCGTCACATTCTGACATCATAAACCTCTTCACAGCCGAGAAGGTCAGTACCAGTTTAGAAGTTGGGACATTTTTCTTTTTTGCGAGTTATTTTTTTATACTGACTAGTTTTGAGGAGACTTCTCTGTGATTTTTGCTTTTTCGTATGTCACCTTGGTAGGGAGAGACAAAAACAGGGAAAAATAATTGGGAACCATCAGGGTTGCGATATTTCATATGATAACAGTGACTGTTGTGGTGGCATAAGAAGGAGCATGGTCACAACTGAAATCTGCTACAAAATTTTTATGTGGAAAAGATCAGCAACAGTTGCATGTGCGATGAATCTTTCTTATTCAGCATTCTTATGTCTATCAACAGAGAGTGAGTGCGGAGCTGTTGCAAGGCTTTGTGGAATGTCTCGACTCCAACACTGCGGAGCTGGCGGAGGAGCGAGCCTCGGCTCTCCTCTCGGAACCAGGTTAGTTGACAATTTTCTTCATGAGCAAGTGTGTTTCTTGTTACTTATGAGGGAGCTACTTTAGCAATGTCGTCAGAAGTTCAGAGGCTAGCTAGGAGGCTGGTCTACCTTTTGTTTGTTGTTTTCTTTCAGGATTTGACTTTCTGTTCTGTAAGTTCACATTTTAAGCAGGTTTATATGACATCAAACTATTTAGAAAATGTTTGTTTTTCCTTGACTGCATATACACGTTTCTCAAGAAATGCTGAATCACTGCACACTGACATGAGGTGTGCATTCAGCACGCTGAAGGGTAAAGGTAACACTCGGGTTTGAGCTCAGATCTATAGAGCTGCATGACCTGCTTCTTTAAAGGAAGGCTGTAAACTATTAAACCATATTATGGACCTTGTCACTGGAGGGTCCTCCCTTCTTCCCTTTCCCTCTGCTGTTTCTGTCTGTCTTTCTTGCTTTTTTCATGCTCTTGATGAGTGTTACTGTGTCAATGTGCTTCTCTTTACACAAACTAAAATCAAAGTAAACTTTACCATTGCAGATAGCAGCAGTGAGGATGTTTTTGTGTCGGTGTACTTCCCTTCTCTTTATTCAAAGTGAACTCTACCTTTGCAGAAAGTGACAGTGAGAGTGGGGAGCCGCTGGTGCAGAACTCCATCTGTGAGCACATCATTCAGCTGATGCTGGTGTCCTTAGACCTGGCAGCACCTAACCTGGCCCACTGGTTACTGGGCTTCCACCTACAGAAACCCGTCATTCGCACAACCCTGCAGGACCCTGGTCAGTCTATTTCTCTGTGTTTGTTTGGATTGTGAGAATTGAAATAACCAGGCGGGGAAAGCCTGTTGGCATTTAACGACTCGATGGAGGTTAAGTCTGCCGTTTTAAAGCCCTGTTTGACTGCAGGGCTAAGTTGAGTTTTTGCAGAAATGAATTTATTTCATATACTTGACATTCAGTCTTTAATATTGTAAAGTTTTGTTTCAAAAGTTGATGGTAGTTGTTTGATAAACTGTATCTGGGGATGAAATCTTTTATGGTTAGGAAAACATAACCCACAAAGGGAAAGATAGTTTTCTCATTATTTTCTTTCGGGGCAGTTCAAGCCAGTGATTTGACTTCACTCAGTGTTTTGGGTATAGTGGTTTTTCATAGTAGGTGTGCATATATATGCCCTCCCTCTTCCTCAAACTTTACTGAAAATTTTAGCTGTATTTCACCCCGTCTGCTGTTCTGGAGAATTTAACGTAAATACTTGGCTATGCCCTGTACAGTTGTTCACTATGCTTTGGTATTATGGAGTATTTTTTTACCCAAATGTCGTTTTTAAGCTGTGTGTATTTTTATAACCCCACCCCCACCGCCCGTGTTCAGGTGTCCTGGAGTCTCCCAAGACGTGCCTGCACTCTGTCCTGACCCTCTTGGAGCAAGGCCTGGGTTCCCGCGAGGGCCCCACCTGTCTTCTGGACCGGCCTCGTCTCGCCGAGCTGGGCTATCACTTGATCTACGCCCTGTGTGCCAACAAGGACACGTCGCCACCTACATTGCGCTACCTGCGCACCACACACGACTTTCTCTTCAAGCAGCTGCAGCATCTGCCCTTGGACAGTGGGAAATATGGTGAGGGCCTCGATGAGTGGGTGTCAATGTTTGAACATTTTAAATGTTTTATCTTTTATGTCAATAAGTGTAAGTCAAACGATAATTGCTCTATTGTTTTTGCTCCTGCACTAAACAATGGCAGATATCATGCCTATGTGCTTCTTTTAACTCAAACTAAAATTCAAAGCTTCTCTATTCTTTTTTTATTTAGAAATTGTATATAAATTTCACTCGGAGTTAATCAGTCATCTATGCACTTCTTTTCACTGGGGCTCGCATTTTGTCTTTTTTGTTTGATGGTGGTTGGCAGATGCTTTCGTGTGGTTTGTTCTTCTTTCCTATCAAAGATCTTATTTCTCCTCCATTTATTTGTATGTCACTATCTCGTAACACCTTTAGTCTTCAGTGCTTACATGACCTCATTGTATTGTTAGTGCCGTAAAATTCTTTACTAAAAAAAAATGTTCTTGTTCCAGCCAATGATGTGTCTGACCATCAGGCGTGGCTGCTGAAGACAGCGGCCATAGAGCTGCGTATGACGTCCCTGAACCACCAGCGGTCACACACTCAGAGGCTGGTGCGCCTCTTGCTGGGCGATGAGGACCAGGAGCTACATAGTGAGTGCTGGGAGGAGGCGGGTTTGGAGGGGGGGGGGGGGGTGATTCCTGTGGGTGAAGATTTGGATTACAGACCTGCAAAGTTCTCCAGCTATTTTGGGGTTTTTTTTTGTTTTATTTTCTGTTGGGTTTTTTGTTTTTGCTTGTTGAGGGACCCCGATAGAATTTGCGTAAAGACCGATTATTTATTTTTTCTTGAACTCTGTTTACATCAGTCGTACGAAACTTATTGTCAGCGATGTGGAAATACACTGATTTATTTGTAATATTTGCATGACGTGGTAAATTACTTGAAAATGCACTTGTTTACTTGCTTGTATTTACTATAGATGTTTATTTGCTGCTTTCGGTTTGTAAGGTATCTTAATCTACTGGGTTCTGGAGACTTTCATTTTTCCCCTCCAAACTCGTATTTTTAAGGAGGATTTTTTGGGGAAAAAATCTCAATTTAGGTCCTAGAGGGGTTGGCAGGTCTCGGATTAGTAACATAGGAGTAGGGAAAGGGGGGAGGGTGAGATTGTGGGTGGTGAAGTGAATTAGCCACATAGTGGTAGTGGCATACAGAAAATAGCCAATTAATTAAAACAAGAGTAGAGGCCATTGTTGGGGGGCTTCATCCTTCAGTGGGCAAACAGCGCTTAGAAAGAAAGTTATGAGGGAGAGAGGAACAGAGCGCTTTTTGTGTTGTCAGATGCAGAGGGAGGGAAGAAAGGGCTACAGTTATTATTTATTTGTGGGAGAGTCAATGAAAGTATTGTTGTGTTGGTTTAAGTAGAGATGTAGGGCATCTAGGGACAGGTTTACTGTCGGGAAATAATGTCAATGGACCTGCAAATTCCCAAGTTACAGAAAGTAAATTCTTATGGCCTGAATTTTGAAAATACATGAAATTAAGAATTTTTTTTTTCTCGTTGCTTCACTCACAAGTGTGATGAATGCCCAGGGCTGTTTTCATTGCATGGTCACAAACTGTTGTGTTTCCTTTTTTTGTCTGCACTATCATTTGCTGCTACTTACAATCAGTATCTATTATTTTTACTGTATTTGGGGAGGGGGGAGGAACTCATAATTTTAAAAACCCTGAAGACTTTGCTAATCCATATCATAATGTGTTGTGGACTGGACTAGATGGTTTGTATTTTGTTTTTAGGACAACTGATTTTAGCTATAATGGAACTTTGTTGGATGGGGTAGGGAGTGAATGAACAAGTGAGAGGGAGAAGAAAAAAAAGCGATTATAGAGAGAGAATGTTCTTTGTTGTAGAAGCTGATGAAGCCATACTGATTTCTTCCAGTGGTGGATTTATCTCATTTTATCTTTTGTCTTATAATGAAACATACCATTTGAAATATTGTTGGCTTGAAATTGCAGTAAATCCTGATTATAGTTTATAGCGAACTCCTGTGAAACTAAAAGACCCTTTGATAATCTCCATTTGTGTACCTTACATCTGCTAAACATTATTTTTGCTGGAGCCCGAATATAAGCTTTTTCCTGTTGGTGGACTAAAGTACATTGGGCCTACTGTAATCAGGTTTTACTGATCATGTTTACGGTTCTCACGCTGTCACTTGCATGCTATTTGTCTGATTAGATGAATTGTCTTGTTCCCGTGTAGACGGCGGTTTGCCTGGTGATGACGGAGAACTCAGCGTGGTGGACAGGGAGTCCAGTCTGTCGCTGACCCTGAGTCAAGCCAACTTGACCACAGGTACTTATTGACCTTATTGACTTACACAGACAGTAATAATGATCATGTTACTAATAAAAATAGTAATAATGAAAATTTGTACTAGAGGGTAGGCTTTATACTTTTAACACTTTTTTTCTACCTTTACTAACATTTTAAACTTCTCGGGAAACTTTGTGTGCAAGCCGCCATTTTGCAGTCGTTCAAATGCTGTCTTATTGCAAGTTCTTTCACTGTCTTTAGCCTTGTACCATGTACCAATTCTCACCACGTTGAAGTTAGAAAAATTTGTGTGTCGTGCCTTTCCCAAAGACACAACGTTGGGCCCAGACTAGGATTTTATCCTGCGACCTTAAAATTGTTAGTCTAGCATTCTAACCATTACAAATTACGCTTATAATGCCACTGTATTCATGGAGACCCTTGCCTCATTTTTCCAATTCAACATTTTCATGGACAGACTGTGGGTCTTTGCTGTTTTTTAATTTCAAGAGTTAATGATTTGAAGCTATAGAAATGTCTGGGGGGGGGGGGGGGGGGGGGGTTTGACTTAAAGAACATGCACTCTTCTCTCCAAAGGCAGCTTTAAAGGTTTTTGGTAAAAGTCTGTTAAATAGGAAAGGGTTTTTATTGCTGCAAAGAGATGCATCACATTGAGCAGTCTCTGCAGTGATGTACTTTTCTGTAACTTCTACTGTGTATATGTTACCCACCTTTCACAACACTGATAGGGCATCTTAACATATTGTTAACTTTTTTCTGTTTTTTTTTTTTTTTAACTTGGTATTGTTGGAGTCACCTTTCACAACGATCTTTGGGTTTCACTAAGTGGCTCAAAGCTTGCTATAAAAAATTTTTTGGGAAATTTGTATTCCATATTACCTGAAAATATCTCACAAGTGATTTTTTTTTTCACTCACTTTACATTTGTAGATGTGCTTCACTGACTTATTCTAACTAAAAAGTATTGAACCACACTGAGATGTTGTAATAAAGAGTAAACCCACTTGTCTTCTACAGGAAAGCAGATGCGGCATCGCATCCTCGGCACCTTGGACACTATATCCTTTGAGCACTTCTTCCCTCCGCCACTCCAGTTCACGTTCTTTGACAAGAGCCAGGTGGAGACACTGGTGCGTAGTCTGGAGCGTAAGACACCGGAAGGTGTGTCCTATTGCGATGTGCGCGCATTGCGACACATTCTTCTGACAGAGCTGGCCAATCAGCAAGGGCCGATGGTGGCAGGACAGAGGCCTCATATTATGGAGGTGAGTAATAAGAGGATAGGAAGTCTTGTATTCATTTACATTGTATTAGAAATACGATCCTCGTGGACTGTGGAATCAGTAAGCAGTGAGTAAGAAATACAAAGATGTTTATGTCTGGTACTTTATTTAGGTGTAACCATCTGTTTACTGTATGCAGTTTGCCACTTAGTCCAGGTTGGCCATTGTGTGCAGGGATAAAGCTGCCCACCTCCAAAAATGGTGTAAATTGTGTTGATGGAAGTGTGAAACATTTGCAATCAATCAATCAATGTTCTGATCCTGAATGTCAGTGTTGAGATTGATATGGCCATTATTTCAGCGTTATATTAAATAAAAGTCCAGGTTGCAGGTTACAATATTGTTGGAATATTGAGAAACCCAAACACGAACCCATGGAGCCTGAAGATGTTTTGTGTTGGAGATAAGGACGATAGATGTTTGATAGGAGAGAAGAGGAAACCACACCAGAGCACCAGCCAGCCACCTGCTCTTGATGTGGAGAAATGGATGACAGCACAGCTCCTACAGGGTTAATTACAACACAATGTTAAAAATTTAATTGTCCACATTTGCCCATTTTTTGTTTGTTGCACCTGATAACTGAAAAAGATAAGATATGATAAATCTTTAGTGTCGAGATGCTAGCACGTTGGTTTGGTGCTTCACAACGCACACACACATGCGCGCACGCGTACACCTTCGGGGATTTGAGCCTTAGCTCGGTCCGACATGTCCTTGGGAAAGGCACTTTGCACAAGTTTCCCACTTGGCTCAGTCCTTTCGGAGATGGATATATAACTCTGAGGTTCCGCCTCTTAAATAACCTAACAGTGTTGATAGTGGTGTTAAACCTATACCATTTTCACACTCGCACGCACGCACACACGCACACACACACACACACAGTGCACACATACATGCACATGCCCTCACACACACGCACGCACACACACACACACACACATTTGCACACACACACACACACTCTTACACCTGCATCCACACACATACATGCACACACATGATGACATTTCCCTTTTTTATAACAAATATGATGCCTTGCCATCCTCAGGAGATCCAGCTGATCCTGGAGACAGTCGTGGAGCACAACGAGAGTCGCCAGGGCCTTCAGCGCAAGAAGCTTGCCTTTGAGGCCTGGCGCCAGCTGGTAGAGGTCATGCTGACCACCGTACCACAGGAGCTGCTTGACGGGGAGCGAAGACAGAGTGTACTCTTTGACCTCTTGCAGGAGCTCTTGGTCAAGGTAGGGCATGTTGGTAGTTGGCAGGTACTCTAATGTGTGGTTTGCTCCTTTATTCCTGTCAAACATCTGTCGTCCTCGTCTCTCCCTTTTTTTGTGTTTGTTACTCTCTTGTAACACTTATCTTCAGCACTTATTTAACCCAATTGTGTTGGAAGTGTCCTAAAACTCTTACAAAAACAAACAAAACAACGTGAGACATAAAGTGGATGGTTGGAGGGTGCCACTGGTAAATCATATTTCGTTACTTTGCCTCTCTTATTTGTCTGTCCATCCTGCACTAAATAATAGCGGTTGTGAGATCATCTGCATGTCTATTTTCTTCACTGTTACTCTAGTCTCTATTCGACTGGGGCTTAAGGGTCTCTTGACATATTCAGAAAGCGAAATAACTAAGATAACATTAATAAATCTTTTTTTTTCTTTTTTTTCTTTTCCGCCTTTTTCAGGTGTCTGGAGAGGAGGTGAGTCTGGAGGCGACGGCGCTGGTGTCGGACGTCCTTCTGACCCTGATGGCCAACCTCCGCCACTGTTTCTCCACCACCTCGGCCCCGTCCTCAGCCAGTGCTGGGGACGGCTCGGCCCACCCGTTCTGGACAGGCAAAGGGGGCAGCTCCCGCACGGCTTTCTCTACCTCCCTGCAGGTTGTCCTGAGAGGACTCATCGACTACATACTCAAGTCAAGTAAGAGCTTCTTTTTCTTTGTATACATTCCTACTCAAGTCTAGTAAGAGCTTTTTTTTTCATGTACTTTCATGTTCAAGTCTAGTCAGAGCTTCTTTTTCTTCATGTACATTCATACTCAAGTCTAGTCAGAGCTTTTTTTTCTTCATGTGCATTCATACTCAAGTCTAGTCAGAGCTTCTTTTTCTTCATGTGCATTCATACTCAATTCTAGTGAGAGCATTTTCTCCAAGCACAATTATACTCAAGTCTAGTATAAGGTTGTGTTTATTGAAGTGGTGTAACACTAAAGTCTTATCAGGACTTCTTTTTCTTGAACTATTGGATCATAAAGCAATATCAGCAGTTTCCTCTTGACACTTTTTTGTTTGCCCGACTAGTACAATAAAAGAAGCACTGTAATGTTTGTATTTTGTTCTCTTTGTCTTTCTGTCTTGTATCCTTGTCCCTGCTCTCTCTCTCTCTCTCTCTCTCTCTCTCTCTCTCTCTCTCTCTCTCTCTCTCTCTCTCTCTCTGTGTTTCTCTCTCTCTCTCTCTCTCTCTCTCTCTCTCTCTCTCTCTCTCTCTCTCTCTCTGTCTCTCTCTCTCCTCCCCCCCCCCCCCCCCCCCCAGCCCTTTGGACTTGATATAAATTTATAAATTAAGATGTCTCACCTCATCAGTCAAATTCATTGGTCATCTTTCCTTGATGATTTGATTTTGTTTCAGGTGGTGGAATACAGAAGGTGAAGGTCAACCTGTATGGAGCATTGCTCTACTGCCTCCAGATTGCTGCAAAGCCGAATTCAGAAGAAGATTCTGTCACATGTAGGAATGACAATTTTTTACGCTTGCTTTTTTAAATAAGTATTTTGTAGTGTTGTGCCGAAGTGAAAGTGTTAAGAGTTCAGAAAGATATGTGGTCTTTACTGGTTCTTGCATGATTATGATGTCCTTTTGTTTCTTTCTAGCTTTCTGAAATTTACAGGGTTTTTTCTAGTGGAGTAAGCTGAAATAAGTTTGAATTTGACTGTAATGCAATCTCTGTTGAATGCGGTTATTTTTAATAATGCTTTTTAAAATTTATAATAGAGAATGCTTTTGGTATGTGCTTTGTTTTGGTATAATTTTGTTCCTTTTTATGTGTTTTTTATTGTTTCAATTCTAGTCATGCGTTCTAGCTCACTGTTATATACAGCTGAATAAAAACTTTTCCCCAGTGAGTCGTAAGTCTGGCATGGAGAAGCTGCTGGGTCCAGACATAGCAGAGTTTGAACGTTTGGCCCAGGAGAACATGGAGACGATCGGGGCTTACGGGGACAGCCTGATGGAGACGTTGTGTCGAGATGCCTGCGATGGTCACCATGTGGGCAGGGTGAGTCGTGGCCTAGTTATGTTCTAGTTTTGAGAGAGTGGCACATTCGCAAAATAGTGCTGGGATAGAGTGAAACGGACAAATGAAAACTACAGATGGAGAATAGAGAATCTGGACCTGTAAGTGGTTCCCTCCATTCGCTCTCGTTAGTTGTTTGCGAAAGGATGAATTTGAGGTGCTGAAAGGCATTGTAAGACAAGTTGTTCAGACTGTTAGGTAGTGAATAAAGCTTGCCAGTAGACAATCACCTCTGCCAGTTTGATCTCAGAATAATGTTGTCATTATTGAAGTGAATAAGAAAAAGCTACGTTTAGATCATCTTTTTTTCTAGGATGCTGTATTGCATCTTTTGATACAGACAAAAAGAAGTTCTTGTCATCTGGGTTTTTTTTTCTTTGTAAAAACTGTTGTGCTATAATGAATTAATATAATGATTATAATAAATAACTTACCTGTGCTTACAGCAAGCTCAATGGACTTTACACTTTATCATTACCACCACAGACCCTAGAATATTCAGAAACATTCTCAGCTTCCCGGGAATCATGCAGTGCAGGTAGCTGTTTAAAGTAACTAAATTTTATATATATATTTTTTAATTATTTTTTTTTGCTTGGTAATATTCATCCACATTCTCTCCTACCCTCATGCAGATGCTGGCTCTGTCAGTGCTGGACTCCATCATCTCCACGGACAGCCAGCGGGCATGGCTGGGTTTCCTCTGTGGTCGAGGCTACTTACAACACCTGGTCGACTCGCTTGCCTCGGAGGACGACAGTCAGCTCTTGGCTCTGCTCTCCCCACAGCCTGCAAATCTCAGGCCTCTCTACATATTCCAGTCCAAAATGGTAACGCTCTGACAAATAAATTTGGTAACAGACCACGTTTTAAAAACAATTTTCATGGAGAAATTTGCTATGTGCATAAATAAAAGTAATGTTTATATTGGCAGCACATAATACACAGTCCCATGATAAAGACTATACCCACTTTTTTTTCGTCACAATGCAAATAACAATGTGAGAATTGGAGAGAAAGCATTTTTCCAAGGAATGTCTGAAATGTTTGAGGTCCAGTTGTTCTGGAGTTCTGCTTTTTTGACCCCTCTTTTATTCCCCATTCCCTTGCCATTCACTCGTAGTGGGTGGTTAGCAAATGCTTTTGTGTGGTTTGCTCTTCTTTCCTATCAAACATCTATCTTCTTTTTCTCTTCTCCTGATTTTTGTATGTTACTCTCTAGTAACACCTCTAGTATTCGACACGCATATGACCTATTTGTGTTGAAAATACCTTAAAACTTGTACCAAATGTAAAACACTTCTCTTGTAACTTTTTCTTCCTCCGCAGTCGCTGCTGACTCGGATTGCTGAAAGTGCCGAGGGTGCCAGGGTGTTGCTGCACGGTGGCGCTCTGGAGAAGCTGGCCGCGTGCTCTGTGCTGAGCCTCAGACCTGAGGTGGATGAGTAAGTGCCTGCCTAGCATGTCCTGTGTGGTTCCATTATCGTACACTTCAGTGATAGTGGTTGTATAAAGTTAGTGCAGTATTTCTCTACTGGTGAAAGATCTTATTTCCTCACCTTTTCTGTTTTGAGATGAAGGCTGAACACTGTTGAACCCTGCTCTCCAGGGTAAGTAGAACACAAAGAGATTTTTCTGTGGATTTTTTTTTTTTCTGCACAGGCATTATGGTATTTACACTCTTTATCTGTTGGAGACTTTGGTTTCAGAAAGTTTTACAATGTACAGTCTACCATCTACTAAACTAACCTTATCGCAGCCTTGTGTTGACTCTAGCTAACATGTCACTTGCACAATTTTATACTAATCAGAGGGAGTCGTTGTGATAGGATTGGGCAAGGGACATTAATTTAAAAAAACAACCAAATAACAATCAACCCTTCTGAAACGGGGCAGGACATCTCTGAGATTGATGTGATCCTGTTTGGGAAAGAAGGGACAGCATGAGCATTATACTGCACTCTGTGTGCCACGTGAACCTTGAGGTTACAGATGGTCAAGGGAAAGTGGACCCCTCTTTGCTGAAATGCTACATTTGCTATATAGGGATATTACCTTAAGTGTCTGTAATGTCTCTTTGGTATTTATTAGAGGTTTTGTTTCGTTGCTTGAAGAAAATAATATGTGCAGATGGTTTAATGGGTGGGGGGCACTTGCAGGTTTACTTCTTTAATTTCATTCTTTTGTTCCTGTCAGTCTGTTGTGCTTTTTCCCAGCATAAAATGATCATGTTGATTTGCTTGTATTGACTCAATATATGGCTTATTTTTGTTCTAATATGTTACAACTAGAACTTTTGATGTATGGTCTTGTTCTTTTTGTTGAGATTAGATCTGATGCAGGCTTCATAAACTATTTGTTGCTTTTCTCCCTCGTCAAATGACAGTGGCTTTGGAGAGCTTCCAGATGAGGATGAGAACGACCTGTTTCCCAGCCCATTGGCCCGCTATAGACAGTTGCTGTTTGTTGTGCTGCGTTTCTGCCTAGCGCTGCTCACGTCGCTGGGTGGGGAGAACAAAGAGGCGGCCACGCAGGTTGGTGATTGTTTACTTTGTTTTAATATTTACCATTCCAATTCATAGTCTTTATTTTTAGCCCTTCCAATCCATGATGCTTCTTTGATATCCAGTGCTGTGCCTGTGCCAGTCCTCGGTCTATAATTTGTATGGTATGTTTTCCTCTTTTTTTTCTTTTTCTTCTTTTTCTTCTTTTTCTTCCCCATGCTTGTAAAACTTTTTAATGCTGACTAGTTGTAATAGTAGCTATAACTCTCATTGATCTTTTATCTGTTTGCAGAAATATGTATCTGACAGGCAGATTTGAAGCTGTTGTGTACCCTTGTTCCCCAACCCCATGTTTAAATTATGTTGATGATAGGTACTGCATGTGAAAATTAAGCATATAGCGCTATAAAAACAAATGTTTCAGCTAACTTCTGTTATGTACCTGACCAATACCGGTAGCGTCAATAATAGGGTTGTAAAACAAATCCTGTAACTAACCGGCATACTGTTATGTTACAAGTGACCTTATTTCTACTTATGCTGCTATTAGCGTAAAACAAATACTCTAACAGGTATATTGCATGATCAAATTGTTATGATAAGAGTTTTACATAGATATAAAAAAGTGGGTGGTTGGCGGGTGCTCTGGTGTGGTTTGCTCCTTCTTTCCTATCAAACATCTATCGTCCTTTTTTCTCCTCCTTTTTTGTGTATGTTACTCTCTTGTAACACGTCTATTCTTCGGCACTTATATGACCTTATTGTGTTGCAAGTGCCGTAAAATGCTTACTAAAACTAAAACTAAGATATAAAGATACCCTAACTGAACTGTTTTACATTGCAGGTGATGCTGCTGATCATCTCCCATGGTGATGTGTTTACCTCCATCCTGCGCAGCAGAAAACCCGCTTTAAGTGAGGCCTACCTGCGAGAGCTCAGCCTTACCACAGCGGTCATTGCCAGGGCTAACTATCACTGTGAGTGCATCCTGGCATTACAGGGCTGCTGGCTACCGCACGCTCGGAACACCCACACTCACAAACACTGAAAAACTTCTCTCTCTCTCTCACAAATTTGCACACTTGCACACACACACACACACACAAACAGACACACACACACACACACACATACACATAAACCTATGTATAGGAAATTAGACCAATTGACTTTCGAAAAGTGATTTTACGATTTATAGAGTTCGTTAAAAAAAAGTTTAAGTAACCTTTTTCTTTCTCCTTTTCCAGCCGATCTTGGGGCTGATTTGATGGAAAACGACACTGCCAGCATGGAGTTTCGGTCTCAGCGCATGAGGTTACAGGTGTGTAATAGTGGGAGTGTGTTCTGTTGTCAAGCTTACAGAATGGAAGTGGGTGGTTGACGGGTGCTCTAGTGTGGTTTGCTTCTTTTTTCCTATCAAACATCTATCGTCTTCATCTCCCCTCCTTTTTTTTGTTTGTTACTCTCTTGTAACACCTCTTATCTTCTGGCGCTCATATGACCTTATGCAGTTGCGAGCGCTGTAAAACCTCTACTAAAACTTTAAAAACTTAACAGAATGGAAATTGAGTCTTTTGTTGCCTTAATGATTTATTTTGAATTGAAGTGTATGTATGTATCATTCTGGGAAATATAACCACCTTTCTCCTCGACAATTGGTGGCCGTCTTAGACAGTTTCCTCTGTGCCCTGCCTACCCTCCTTCAACATTTTCACATAGCGGCCAACCGCTACGCTAAAATCGTAACTGTTACGATGTCACCTCCCGGGGGGAAAAATGTCATTACTTTAACGCTTTGCAGTCACTTGGCGCTATAATGCGCCGGTGAAAATTATCCGTTCTGGTCACCTGGCGCAGTGCGCCAGGCCCGAGAGGTCCGTTGCTGTCACTCTCCTGGCTGGGGGACCAGATGGGGTATTTTGTAGTGCTGGCTGTGTGACTGCAAAGTGTTAAAGTTAATATATAAAAAAAGGGAGGGGGCACTATCGCTGATCCTAACTGTGTGCGATTTTTTATGAAGTAGCGTCACGCGTTTGGGTGTTCTGTTTTTGCTTCCTGGAAAGTTGGCCGCTGTGTTGTCATGTGTTTTTTCCCTCCACCTGCCTCCCCAGGACCAAATGCTGGCCTTGCTGCCCCACTTCTCCATGCCGGAGACACTGGTCAAGCAGCTCAACATCCGGCTGACCGCTCCAGGCATGTCCAGCCAGGCGGGCACTGACGAGACGGCTGAGGTTCTGCAGCTCTTCCAGGAAGTTGCCTCCAACCTGACAGCTTACTGTCGCAGTCTCATTGCCAACATAGGTTGGTTCACCCTGACGTTTTCATGACTTTGGATAGACACCTGTGTTCGACTTTTTTTTTCAATCGTTGTCTGTAGTGTAATACTCAGGGTTTTTTTTTTTCCTGCTGCACATGAAAGACATGAGTTAACTTCTTATGAGGGGAAGTCTATAGTCTATTCTGAGTTATCTCTTTCTTTCTGCTTAGACTACTGTGTCCTTTTCACCTGGGTTGGCCTTGGAAGGCAGGGTCGGAACAGCCAGCTTCCCTAATGAACTAAATTGCACAGTGGCTTTAAACAGTTACAGACATTTGATCTTCTTGCACATTTCTATTACTGAGCTGGCTCTATTCTGTTACTGTACATTCTTTTTGTGTAAGGGACTATTACTTCCTGTCCTGTTGATGAATGTATTGCATTTTTATTTCTGCAAGTTTGACGATATAGGCGGTAGAAAAGTTTTCTTTGTTATGGGATCTGTTCTTACCACCTCGTTCATAGCACCCTTTGCCAAAATATAATTGATGAACATTGACAGAAATGTTTTCGGGTTCTTTGTTAGATTTTTTAAAAAGAAGAGGTGTTTTGTTTTTGGGTTTTTTAATTGTATTTTATAATTTGGTTTTGCAACATGTTTAGATTCAATTTGATGTCCTCAGGCTCCAGCAGTCTTAACCAGCACCTGTTGTTTGGACCCAGCCTGGAGGAAGTAACTGTTCGAGAGGGCCACAAAACCAGCGGTCAGTATACTTGTTCTTTTGTATGTGGGCTATGAAATAGGGGGGCAGGGAAATGGGAATACAAAATTTTCTTAGTTATTCTAATTTATAAATAAATTTTCCCGTTTATATGAGGCCATATTTATGTTTTGTGATCTTTGTGTGGGGGGGGGGGGGGGGAGGGAGAGGAAAAAATTTGCCTTGCTCAAAGGCTAAAAGGGAGATGGGACTAACCGCTGAACCCGGCACGGGGGGGGATACAAAACTTTCTTAGTAATTTTAATTGGTGAATATTTTTTCTGTTTCTCTGGAGTACTGTTTATATCATGTGATATTTGGAATTTGGTGGGGGAGGAGTTGGGTTCATGGTTATCTTATTTGCCCTCAATTGTGCTTCTCTGTTACCTTTGTGAAAACACACCAGTCTTGATTTGGAAAATTGATTAGAAATGATCTAGGTTGTGTTGATACGGTAGTAATACACATACAATTAAACAATTTTAACTTTTGTTATTACTTTACAGAGGTGTCGGTGACGCTTGGAGTTGGCCGTCGCTTGGGTCTGGGCGTGGTGCTGCTGCTGCTTCAGCAGTGTTCTCGCCAGTTCAGCATTGTCCTGGAGCAGCACCACCAACTCTCGCAAAAGCTGACCGCTCTGGCGGAACTCAGCGTGGAGGACCTCAGAAAGGTATGACCACTAGGACAGTTTGTTCGTTGAAAGCAAAATTGTGGCAGGTGCCAAAATTGCATAGATTTAGAAAAACGGGAAAAAAACAGTAAACATTGAATTATTAGAATGTTATGGACATGTCTGTCCTAAAGAAGTAAACAGAAAATTTTAAAAGAGCAGTCTTATTATGGATTCCTAGCGACCAAAAGTTTCAATCATGATTTCCTCTAAACAATTGTATCACGGCACCAAGAAACAGTGTTGTTTTCATGGATTGAGTTGGTCTAAATGGCTGACATTATCTTCTTTCAAGACTTTCCCACTGTCTTATATAATCACATGGTTTGTGAACACTGACAAATGCTTGAAAAGGGTTGAGACATGAGAAAGTTGTGCATTTGTGAAATGAAATGTTAAAATGGTTTAAAATAGTTGTAAAGCACTTAGAGCATGCTGTCAAGTATGGATACTCTGTATAAAAATCCAGTTAGTATTATTATCATTGTTATAACAGACTATAACCGTATGTCTGCTAAGAGAACTGTCTTGAAGTTGGTAAACTTTTGGAAGGAAACAAGACAAATTTTTATAAACACAATTTTTTTTTTACATTACTAGTGTTGGCCAAACTTTAAAAAAATGCACTTGTCAGGTTTTGTAGCAAAACTGTTCAGTTGTCATGTAGTTTGTGTTACTCTTTAACTCAGTCCAACGAATATTGATTTAATTGAACCCTGTGTTTTGTTTCCGTTTACCTTAAATGGACTATGACTGGACCATATTTTAGGCCATTTCCAAAGAGGGGATATTAACATGTTCTTAGGCACAGTAGAATTGTAAATGGGCTGATTTATCTATGTCATGCTCACACTGTGCCAGAACAACTTAGGAGGAACTGCTGCTTTTTTGTTCCTCACCTTTACTGTCGTCATTTTCCTCTACTTCTTTTTTATGTTTGTCACTCTCTTGTGACCTGCTATTTTCGGGTTGCCTTGATAGTTGAAGCAGACTTTGTGCTGTCGAGGCTAGAGAGGTGAGCAGAGTAAGCCTGATTCCCCGTTTGAACTTCTCTGTTGACTTCCAGCCCTTGGCGCTCATATGACCTTATGCAGTTGCGAGCGCCGTCACACATTACTAAAACTGAAACTAATATTTCACCTGTATGTATGTGTGTTTCAGCTGTGTGGAGATTCGTCCATTGAGAAGTTGTCATCGCAGCAGAGGCAGGGGCTGGCCCGCTCTCGGCTGGTGCACGTCCTCGCCCAGAAGTCTCGACAACTTCAGCACTATGTCTGTATCCTTTTGTCTATCTACCTGTTGGGGAGCCCATTATTTTTTAAACTTTTTTCTTTGACTGTGTCTGCTACCTGGGGTTGCTGATTGTCCTGGTAAATCCGAATTTTAGAAATTGTGCGCATTTTGCCAGACTGTTTACATTTTGATCCCTGTGCATTTCATACTGCCATTTATATAAATATAGTCTTGATGCAGTATGTACTAGACAATGTGATCCATACATTTTGAATCCCCTTGTTTTTCCTTGGGGTGAGAAAAATACTGTTGGTCCTTCTGAATTTATTTCCTGTAGGGCTTCATTAATATGATAATACTGATGTTTTGAACTTGGAAAATTGTTAGTGTACTGGTAGAAAGACAGGAACATTTTCTGGACAGTGTTGTCTGCACTGCTTGGTACTTCTGGAGATAAGTAACATTTCTTTTTGTGTAAAATAAACATTGCATTTGTTTCTTGATTTGCTGACAAAGATAAGTTTTCCTTGATTTGTCTGCTAAGTTATATTTAAACACTCAACAAAAAATAACTTATTTATTATAAGACTGCTATACACCATGTTGCTATACGCGGCACGCCATGTATGACAGTCATACACTGAGCAATTGAAATGTTGTCAGCCTCAAATATTGTAATTTTACCTAATGATCTCCTTCAGTTCTGATGCATTGATGATCATGATAATATAAGCTGCTGTGTAGGGTGTAGGCTGGGGGTCTCCCCTCCCCCCAACCTTGTTATGTTTGTTTCTTTAACGAGCCTCAGACATTGTGGAAAACTGCCTGTACATCATCTGGCGCCACCTGGAGTTCTTCCTGGTTCACTGCGTACCCGCAGACCAGGGTCACATGACAATGCCCACATTGCTGCGGCATCAGACTGGGATTAGAAGGTTAACAGGTATGTTGGACCTTCAGATGGCATTGATGAATCAGCCCATTTACAATTCTACTGTGCATAACAACTTATTACTGTCCCCCCTTTGGGAATGGCCTAAAGACACTTCAGTCAGTAGCACCGACCCGGGGGTAGGTTGTGGGTTTCAATTCCAACAGGGATCTCATGTTGTGTCCTTTGGAAAAGCACTTTACTCAAATTTTCCTCACTTCACCTTGGTGGGAGTGGATACCTGGCTATAGACATCGAAAGATCTTGTCAATTTGCTTGTGTTTGAGCGCTTGATTGGCTGCTTGCACTGTTTGTTTCCAGGGAAGCCGAAAATGTTTCTTAGTCACATTGTAGGGTCTGCTGGTGTAATGATAGTTGTAAAGCGCATAATGTTGTGGAGCTCGAATATTAGTTTTAATTAGAGTTATTTCAGCACTTGCAACACAATGTCACATATGTGCCCAAGATCAGGTGTTACAAGGGAGTAACAAAACATAGAAAAGGGAGAATAGATCAGAACCATAGATGCTTGATAGGAAATAAGGAGCAAACCACACCATAGCATCCGCCAACCACCCGCGGAGCATGAATATGTGCTATGTCATTGCAATTATTTTGTGCTCCACAAAGTTTTCACTCACAGCTTATTGCTTAAGTTGTTGGCTGTATCAGCACAGCTTTTTGTTTCCTGAAATTTTTTCACTTTTTACTTTTCTGTCGGGGGGGGATATCCATTCGTGACTTTTGGGGAGAGGTTGTTTGGTTTTTGGTTGTTTTTTTTTACACCTTTTTCTGTGCTGAAAACATACTCAATCAGCTAAAAAGCGACAAAATATATGCTCACCTTTTTGAAGCATGAGTAGTTGAAAGCAGCCATGTGCCCAATGTCCATCCATTCAGCCAGTTCCCTGGTGCTGCATTAGATGATGTCTGTTGTGATACTAGGTTTTGAGGTTGTGTTTGTGATGCTCCCTTCTCGGTAAGGGTGTTTGCTCTGACATTTCCTACGATGTTGCTTTGGCCAGGTATCTACTGTAAAATCAGGTCGACGGCATAGGTCTGCATGAAGATGTTAATTGTTTGAGCCACAGATAGGCAAGCTGGGCTTTCGAAATTCATGTTTTCTAAAGCTTAGAGTACTGATTTTCCATCTGTGAAGATTACAGTGCCCTTGATTTTGTCTGGATATATAATGAAAATATTGGTTAGGTGGAGGATTGCTGCTTCAATGGTGATGGCCTCTGCCTCATAATTTGTACAGTAAGTACCACAGGCATCAAATAGTACTTCACACATCTTGTCAGGATGTTCTATTCTTACTCTAAAGCCTGCATTAATAGTTCCCTTGAAGGCTGACTCATCAGTGTAAATATGGATTGAATCACTAGGGAAGGAGTCAATTGTTTTGAGACCTGTTGTCTTCAGCTCTACTAGGTCACATTCCTTTAAAGTTATCACTGTCTCCTTTATGAGGAAAGTTTTGATGTTGGCGTTCTTGATGTTGGTGTTGGGGGGAGTTCTGGTCTTAAGGGTTTCAGCATTTCTCTGTTACATGGAAGGTTGTGTTTTTCCACTAGTTCGGTGGTGGTGTTGAGAATTGATCTTCAATGGATTCGTTTCTGTGGTCGTCTTTGCTCAAGAATCTTTATGTTTGGATGGTTTTTGTCTAGTCTCTTTTGGCGCTCCCTCATCTCGCTCATCTCCACAACTGCTGCCTTGAATCATTACAAAACTCTTTGTAGGTACACATATTGTAGCAGTTTGTTAGTTCTCTGGTGTGGTGTGTAGCAGAACTGTACCTTTTACTTCTTTCTTGTAGTTTTTTTTCATACTGGTCTGTTCTTAGCGAAAAGTAGGTGATTTATGAGCACTTTGATGTGGTATGCTTGATCTGCTTTAAAAAGAAATTGTACGTTTGGTCTCTCTTTTTGCGCTAACTCTGTTAACCAAGTCTCAAATTGTAAAACCTTCGAGCTTAGACTTAGAGCAGTGCCTCAAATTGTGTTGGCTTGATGGAGAATTATCTGCCATGACTCTCACAGCTCTTTTAGCTTGGTGAAGAATGTATCTGTTAAAACCCTCACAGCTCTGTTGTTACCTTGGTCAAAAATGGCTCTCGGACTCTTAACCGTAAGGTCCTGAGTTCGAATCCCATCAGGGGTGTGTCTGTTAAGAGAGACCCTTACTCATTTTTTTTTCTTACAGGAGCCCTTGACTCTTCCCTGAACTCGAGTGTGGTGGGCAGTCCTCTGGTGGCCAGTGGCCTGAGCCAGGTGGCTCTGGGAGTCTCTCGTGCCGATGTTGAACACATGCGCAGCACGGCGCCCATAGTGCTCAACGAGGCATTCTTCAAGAAAGTGCAGACTGTGGATCAGGTAGGGAGATGACCTGTGACATTGAGGAACAATGTCCATCTGTTGAAGGGGGGTGGGGTGGTTGTTTTAAATTGCCAAAATTATTTGGGGCAACAAGGGTTTTTTTGGGGGGGGGGGGGGGGAGATTCTTTAACCCATCGCGAGGCTATTACAATGCCATGACTGTCCCTCAGAGGTTATCTCGACTATAGTAGAGATCGTAAACACAAGCACTTGAGGCCCAATTTTGTGTACGGAACCACCAGAAATGGTTTAAACTAAGTTCAACTCGTTTTAAGGAAGATTTTCCTAGCATTTCCTGCCTCAAACAAGAATCTAGACCCAGTATTGGAAAAGAAGACGAACGGTCTAGGATTTATTTACATAAGTCTCAAAGGCAGTAATCAAATCTGAAATGGCTGCAAATATGAATGATAGCAACCTGTTCAACGCATTTTATAGGGAAAGTAATGATTCAAGAGGAAACAGACTTTATTTCCATGCAAAAAGTTTGAGGTAACCTTCTGTGTCCCAGCCTGCTTTGAACTGTATCACTCACACTAAAAGCAATTTGACACCACAACATCAAAACTAACACTAACACACTGGCAAAGACACGCTGATGAACAAACGTTTTAAATGTATCGCAAGTTATTGTTTTGAAAACTTTTATCGCATGTTTTTTTGTTAATTCAATTTCCGGTTTTATGATGCTTGGTTATATCTATCTTAAACAATAAGGAAGTTATAAACATTTTTACTGACCCACCCAAATTTTCGTGAAGTTCTCTAATTAATTCGCCTTTGGGGGGACTGGACACTGCAAATTTATTCACCTCTAGAAGGGTTAAAATTATTCGCTATCGTAATCAGTATTTCCATAGGTTGGGTTCCCACTCAATCGGTGTCGTCATAAATACTCAGTACAGTAAGTGCTTGTTACAGTTTGATCAGGAAATGCCCAGTTCTCACTTAACTTGATTCAGACTTTGGATATGTTTCAATTTTTTTGGTCTTCCCCATGTCCTGATTGTGTTGCAGGTATTTGCAAGTAATGTTAAAATGTGCCTACATGGTAAAATTGTTGTTTTAAGAAAATGGGGACTTGTTTAGTCTGTTATTATGATGATGATGGTCAGTCTCACTTAAACGATATTTCCATCTCGTTCTCTCCCACCACCAGCTCCAGCTGACAAAGATTCTCCTTGTAGTAGACTTGTTACTTACTTTTTATTTTACATTTATACAGATTAGTGTTGTCTCTGCCCAGTTTGTTTGTTTGCTTCTTGTTCTTTTAGACGTTCATGTTTCACTTTTTTTAAAATCAGTTTTTGATACTTTGACAGGAAAAATTCCAAGAATATTCTGTTCGTAAAGAATTATTATGAAATGGCTAAGGCTTTTGAAATGAATTTTTTTTCGTCCGTTAGCTATTGTTAGCAGAAGTCATTCAGTATGTTTTTAAGATTTGTTGTCTATCTGTGAATATCTTGTTGTTATTTGTATTATCAAAGTGCTAATTCTTATTCACTTTTTTTCACATCAGTGTTTTGGCAAAGAGAGAAGCCACTACAGTTTCTCCGAGGCTATTGCAAGGCGGATCAAGCGAGTGCTGAAGCTTCACACAGGCAAGTGACCCATATAGTGAGATGACGAGTGTGTATGTGTGAGTGCCCAGTTGTTACATGTTTGTCTGCCCAAATGCTGGAGTGAAGTGTTTACAGTGACTCAGAATTCTTTCCTGCGAGTTAAGTCGATAGTACATGTCGGCCTGCCAGGGATTATGTGTTTAAGTTTAATGAATGTTTTTGTCCCCCCAAAAAATCATTATGATTTGTAAGATTGTTGGATATTTTGTAAATAACAATTTATGATGTTTAGATGTATGATTGTTTTGTGAATTTTTGTGTACCCAGGTATGAGACAATTTATGATGTTCAGTTAACATGTATGAATGGCGGTTGAATTTTTGTATCCACTGACAATTTTTTATGTTAATGTATGGTGATTGTTTTGACCAAAAGTGTTCTGTGTTTTTTTATTGAGCTGAAATATATGGGGGGGGGGACTATAGATTTTCTTGTCACAAATATAGAATTATTTCATTTCCTGATTTGTTGTATGGGATGAAGCGACAAGAAGGTCTTAGCTAAAATTTGATTTTGCTTCAAGATAACTGAAAGTTAAATAGGGACTGTCCAAAGAGGATGTCCTTATTGTGCTCTCTGGCTCTGTTTTTGGGTTGTTGGGTGGTTTTTTTTTACCTTAACTGTATGATAACTGTGCTAGAGTCCATAAGGTTGGTGCATGTTCTTTGATTTGTGACATTCATGTTTTACATTGATTTTTGTGCACCTGTACTTTGTTGTATACCAGTGCTTTGTTGATGGCATATTAAATCATGTGACAATGACATAAACATGTTGGGTTGTTTTTTTTTTGTTCTCTACATTTGTTATATGTGAGGCAGCATGGTAGAATCAGGCTCTCGTGAATTTTTTTCAAAGTTTTGTTTTTTGGCTCAACACCTTTCATGCCCATTAAAGAACTCATTTCTGTATGGCTTTTTATGAAAAACGTTGATTAAAGGCACAAAAAATGTAAATTTTCAGCTACCACGGACTCTTAAGCACAAAGAAATAACTAATCTTTGGCGGCCATTTTCTCTCTAATCTTACCTCTGACCCCCCACCCCTTTTATTCTCGAATATCTCGACTTGTATTCAAGGTAAATGGATATTTTTTTCACCCAAATAAAGACAAATGAACAAGCTTTAAGATGATACCAATAACTCTACATGCCCAAAAATTGACGAGAGCCTGATTCCACCGCGCTGCCTCACACATATCTCTTCTTCTTTCACCCTGTGGTTGGGAAAAGGGTGCCAAGAAGAAGGACTCTCCACCCTACCCTGTTCTGGGTGATCTTCTCCACCTCCAGCCAGCTGTGCCCCAATTGTCCGAGATCTTCCTCCTGATCCTTTTACCAGGTGGATCTCTGTCATCCTCTCTTCCTCTCTCCTTGTGTATTCCACTTGGCCTCCATTTATCTCCACCAGGGTGTGAGTCAGTGTGACTTCTTCCAAAATTTGTGACTCGTTGTTTCCTCTTTGTGACTCGTTGTTTCCTCTTTGTGACATCTCTGTGTGGGTGGTTGGCGGGTGCTCTGGTGTGGTTTGCTCCTTCTTTCCTATCAAACATCTATCGTCTTTATCTCTCCTCCTTTTTTTGTGTGTATATTACTCTCTTGTAGCACATCTACTTTTGGGACTTGTACGACCTATTGTGTTGCAAGGGCTGTAAAACACTTATTAGGCGGCTCTCGTGGCCTAGAGGTTAAGGTGTTGGCCTCTCATTCAAAGGTCCCGGGTTCGAATCCGGGTAGCGACCAAAAAATTTTTCTTCTCTAAAATTGTCTCCTTTCACCTCCTTTCCTGCTCTCTAGCAATGTTCTGTTGTCTGCTTTCATTTCCACTTTCTGCCCCCACCCCTCACCCCCTTTGCCCCCTCCTCTGGGCTCCTGACTCTTTCTGCAGCCTTTCTACTGCTACTCCTTGGCTCCTCCTTACTGCTGTCTTTCTGCCACACCCCTGATCTTCTGGTAGGAAAGATCTACACCTAGCCTTCTCAGACAAGGGCGACAAATCTCGGAGGGCCCGTGTGCAAGTTGCGCACGTTAAAGAACCCTTGGTGGTCTAAAATCGATAAGAGTAGGCTTCGGCCGCCACCCGGGCAAAATTCAAAATTTCCTACCAACTGAAAATATTCGGTGTGTCCCGCGCGCTCATATGACCAATGCAGTTGCGAGCGCCGTAAAACACTTTACAAAAACAAAAAACAAACAAAAACACTTATTAAAACTAAAACTAAAACTGACATCTCTGTAGCAACAGATGTGTTTTATAGGATGGGAGGGAGTGTCGGCATATGCCCAGTCCCCAACCTGGAGGACCTGGTGTCTTTATTTCGGGAGGCACTAGATCTACCTGTGTTGCCATTCATTTGCCTCTTCTTAGAACACGCTAGCCTCATGTCAGCCCTATTCTTCTCGAAACTCAGGGACTTCACAGCTAACATTTGTAATATTAGATGTAAAAACAAATTTTTCAGCCAAATATTTTGTCATCTTTTTGTTGTTGTTATCCATTCATGTTCAATGTGTTTAGGAGTATAGTAAGGCCGGTCCCAATGTGTGGGTGGTTGGCGGGTGCTCTGGTGTGGTTTGCTCCTTCTTTCCTATTAAACAACTATCGTCTTTATCTCTCCTCCTTTTTTATGTTTGTTACTCTCTTGTAACACCTCTAATCTTCGGCACTTATATGACCTTATTGTGTTTCAAGTGCCCTAAAACTCTTACTAAAACGAAAACAAGGTCCCAATGTAGCTCTGTACACCTGTATCTGGGCAAGCGCGAGGCACGCTCGCTACGTGTCAGCACAGCCGTACTGTGGGTTGGCGTCCTTGGGGTCTGGCAACTGACAGGTCTGCTTTGCTATATACTGTGTGCCCCTGTCATGTGGATACGATGCAACAGCGTTGATGGAACATAATCCACAATTTCCATGACCTTATTTTGACAAACATTGCCAAATTAAAGAACCTTTTAAGGACATGACAACGCGGTGTAAAAGATTAATGACTTTTTATCCTCAATTGAAATCATGAAAACTAAAGACTAATTAATTTAAGGACTTTTCTAAAGACCTGTGGAAATCCTGTGTGAGAGTTGTATACGCACTCTTTGCTTCAATCCTGTCTCCTCGCTCGTTTGGTGTGTTTTCCTTCTTCCATAATTCCAAGCTCCTCATACCGTATGACATTCTTTCATCCTTACCTATTCCTTCAAGGTCCGTCTACGGACACTGCACACCAGATATTTAATTTAGATAGATCTAGGTCTAGATTTAGATAGATTCTGAGGTGAATACTTTAAATCTAGATCTAGATCAAATGTAAATTATTATCTATATCTAGGTTCAAGGCCTTTCTATTTCTATATGGACATACCTCAGCATCTCAACTCCTGAACTATCAATCATGATCTAGATTCTATCCTTGAAACACACAAGCCTACGAATATAAACAAACTGTCGAAACTAAGTCAACCTTTCGCTTGGAAAACATATAATTTTAATGTATGATAAAGTGCATTTCTTGGGATTTTGTGGTCAGGCGTTGATGCTAGCATCAATATCTAATCTAAGTGGCTAGCCGTACTTAGATCTAGGTTAGGCCCTATTGACTGAAACATGTTGAGTACGCAGGTTTCATTAGATCTACTAATTATTCAGGTTTAAAATACAGTGGAAGCCATATTTATATAACGGTCCCGGTAATAACAGGGATGGAGCAAGCCCACGCAAATCACGCCACTGCAAGCACACGCAGCGGGTGAAGCGAGAGAAGGCTGCGGTGTTCTACAGACTTCGATCTAGCCTAGCCATATGCCTAGCTACACTCACACACGCGTAATGTTCATGTACATGTACACCTGTTCGTGGGTACTTGTGGCAAGGGAAACTACCCATGAATAAGTACAGCTGGATTCGTCCACAAATGCTTACTTCCCTTGTTATTTCTGATTTAACAGGGATCTGATATAACAGGATTTTGTCTCTGGTCTCACCATCCCTGTTATATCAGGTTTCCACTATACGTGCCTTCAGTATAGCACCTTTTGGTTTCAACTGAAATACAAATACTTAAACTTTGGGTGCGGGTGGTTGGCGGGTGCTCTGGTGTGGTTTGCTTCTTCTTTCCTATCATACATCTATCATCCTTATCTCTCCTCCTTCTTTTTTTGTGTTTGTTACTCTCTTGTAACACCTCTAATCTTCGGCACTTATATGACCTGATTGTGTTGCAAGTGCCGTAAAACTCTTACTATAACTAATACCTAAACTTTGGGTATTGCAAACTAAAATTTTATTTACAATTCTGCCATTATAAAGTACGGCTAGCCTGCCAGTCTAGCTGTCCTTAATTTCCATATCTAATGAAGACTGAACTCTGGTGGGCCCAACACTGAACGAAGCGGAACTACTTTTGAGCCTCACTGTGCAATGGTCCCCTCGTATCTTATTGTTTTGTATTTATGTGTGTTAAAAAAAAAAATTATTAGTGTTGCCAGGGGGGCAAGCCTCCCTGAACCTCCCCTCTAACAGGTGAGGCAAGTGTTTGTTTTCGGTTTCAGGCGAACAAGTCGGGCGACCGGCTCGATCCAGCTGTAAAGGGGCACCCTGTATAAGTGACAGGTCGAAGGGAGATAACTCATTACTTCATTTAGTGATTGGTAAACAAGTTCCCTAAACGTTGAACAGTTAATGGTGCTACATGTATTTAACAGAGGACATGAAAACCTCGTACCGCCAGCCCCGCTGTACCGCCAACGTATAACATGGTTTGACTGTAGTTTAGTCCACAATTAGAAAAATGCAGAAGATCAGAGGTGTTACAAGAGAGCAAAATACAAAGAAAAGAAGGAGGAGAGATAAGGACGATAGATATTTGATAGGGAAGGAGCAGACTACAATAGAGCACCCAGAAGTAATGTTTTCTTTCTGTGTAATTAGTAATTCACATGGAACAAAGGAGACTATCTTGTACATGTATTTCATCTATGTGTTACTTTTAGTAGTAGCCTACATTATCCTAACTAGATTTCAGCCAAAACCAAACTGATCCACCTTGACATTCTTTAGAGGATTGTCCTCAACCACATCACGAAAAAATTGTAAATGCATTCACAAATTTCCAAATATTAAGATGAAGTTCAGAAACAATCCCAGACTTGGTATGGAAAATTCGAAAGTTTGGTTTTATTTACTCATTACTGAATTAAAAAAAAAGAACAGTGCATCATGTATATCAGCAGCATCTTAGACCATTGTCACAGCACATTGAGAATTTACAAAAATGAATGTACAAATCTGACTCTGAATTTGAGTTTCCAGGAAGTATCACTGATTGCATGCATACAGTGTTCTTTGACACATATATGATAATCTGAGTGGTACAGGTACAGAAGCACTTTCTGTCCTTTGCAGAATCAGCATACTTTTACCGTTACTGCCCACACTACGGCCATTACTATGTGGATGTGTTTCTGTTTACTCAAACTGAACTGTCTACTGTTTGTGAATCGTGAAGCTCTTGCATAAAGAGGATCCCGGATTCAGGTTTTCTTGAACAAGTGTCTGAGAAAGTTACTGAGGGTCAGATATTACAGATGGACTGACAGGGTCACCACCAACGAGGAAGTGAAGGAAAACAAGACAGATCCCAGTCAGAGATGAGGTAGGAAGAAGGCGGTGGCAATATACTGGACATACTCTCAAGACGTCAGGCAGCTGAGTAACAAAGAAAGTTTTGGATTGGAATCTACAGGATAGACGAAGATCAAAGAGAAGACTGTGAACCTGGAGAAGAATCACAGAAATTGACGTACGAAACGTGGGAAGACATGGAATAGCACCAAGAGGCTAGCCCAGGATAGAGAAAGGTGGAAAGTGCTTGTTCGTGGCCTATACCCTGGTGCAGGGTGAGAAAGGCAATGATGATGTGTGTGAAGCTGACAGCTCCCTCACAAACCACTCCCATATTCATATCCAATAATAATTTATCAGTTAACACAAGGCCGCTAAGAACCTTGTTTCATGAAAATGAGGAATTTTTTAAAGGGATTTGACAAGAATTCGGGTTTAAATTCTGGCAGATGCGTTTCTGAGTCTGTCCTATTGGACGGACGCCATCTCCTTAGCTCTGTCGTTCACAAATGTATTCCTATGGTCGAATGAACAAGTTATTATTGGTGGTTGGAACTTGGAGTGAGCCACTGGAAAGTCCTACACAACGCTGTATGCCCTGATTGAAATGTTATGCTGGCCAAAGTATGGTACCGGCAGTGTTTACCCGTCTTTGACCTTATGCAGGATAATGTTGCTAATTTATCCCAGAAAAAAAACATAAAAGGAAAGAAAAAAAACAAACCAAAAGAACCCCCCCCCCCTCTGAAATTGGTAATAATATGTGTTAGTTGAGGCGAGTAGTGTCCCCGTGTCTGTGTGTGGCACTACGAGGAGGGGGGGATTTCCTCCAGGTGCAAGAGTCGCTCGATATCCTTCCGCTCCTCTTCCCTCATGCTGTACACTTGGAGAAGGTGTGTGGCTGGAGGAGGGGGGGGATAGGTAATATGAGGAGAGATGGGAACTCATTTGGGAAAAGGG